CAGAAATGGGCAAACGTCACAGATTCTCTGGGCCAGCAAAAGACCACTCGAAACTGTGAATCGGTTTGCTGTTCTGTATCGTTTTCAATGATCAAAGCACTGGCGAGTCAACTTGTGAGTATCGATAAAGCTGGTATGGATACTCAGAGACAATTGATTTATCAAATGTAGATTGTACAAAGCTGCAGTGCGGCCAGTATGCGCCTTGGACAAGGCTACTGCATGTTGGAGGCGTCAGAAGAATAGTTGCCTTTGATCACTGTTGCTTGCCTAGTATTGTTTATGCCTGGTGCGAGCAGCAAATGACGCTGAGATTCAACGGTTGGTGTATATTTCCCTGGTGCACTTGCCCTACCTAAGCCAATTGAGGTACACTCCCCACAAGTCTGTGGAATATGTTGTACCTCAGTGTGTCGTGCTATAAAAATTGATTCGGTCCGGTGAAACCGTGAGATGATCCAACGGAGGAATATCAAAAAGACTCGAAGAGACTTAATTGGCCTGATGTGTGTCATTGCACTGAAAGGGGGGTCTCGGGAGAAGGTGTCTTAGTGATCAGAAGCCGTATCCGAGAAGAAAGATTGGTGGATCCAGTGGGGTTATTGAATTCGGTTTCCGACATCCAGCGATTGTACTTTCAGCCTTCGTCTAAACCCCTCTTAATCCATCCGCTTGTGTGATATTCCATCAAGTCAAGTCAGAGTTGCGCCTTCATGCACCCATCAGAGGTGAATTTTCAGCCGTGCAGCTTTAATAAATAAATAAATTGTATATGGCTCGACGATGCGAGAAGCCGTTCCCAGAAGGGACGGATCAAATAATGGTACAGCAGTTTCATATCATGGTATAATAAATTTTAAAAAAATGTGAGCACAAAATGAAAATTTGTGTAGCGCGAAGCGGTCCAAAATATTTACATTCCTCTTGTTCTATCGTCTGCTAAGTTTTTAGCAGTCACATGAGAGTTGATCGCACACGAAAAAAAGAGAGAATAAAGTGCTGCGAGCCAACAAAATATAACCACTTGTGCACTTGACCACATGCATTTTCAGGCACCATTAACTCCGTTCTCAAAAGCGTTATCTAAGGACTGTGCTGTTCGAAACATTATTATCATATTTTGAACGGTTAAATGATCTTTTATCGAAAGCTTAAACAAACGCAATGTGCCACAAGTTCTGATAGCTCTTGGAAGTTTGTTCCAAAGCTTTGAGCAGTGTATTAAGAAGAAACGCTCCCTAATTCGCGTATTGAACTTTGGAATCATGACCGTTGTCTCCTTATTTCGTAGCTCGTATCTAGTGTTAACGGACATATAGACACAGTTAGCATAATTGTGCATGTGATGGTGAATTATTCTGTACAGGAAACACAAGTTCATCTTCATTATCCGTAGCCAAAATGGGTCAAGTCCAAGTTTTTCACTGCGCTCTCTGTAGGTCATCTTGGAGGAATATCCGCACAGCTTCTTTGTAAAGCGTCGCTGTACCCTCTCAAGAGCATGCTGGTCAGATTTCCGCAGATTCGACTGTAGTAGTGAGCAGTATTCCATGCCAGGTAACACATATGTTTTGTAAAGCCAGATACGAGATTCTGTGAGTTGAAATTTATGACAGATATAGCCAATAGTCTTCATGGCTTTCGAAACTTGGAAGTCACAATGTTCCGAAAAGTTGAAGGTAGTGGAATACCGCACACCCAAGTCGCGAATCACTTAGCACTGTGATATAAACGCGTCTTGTAATAATAGACTGCCTGGTGGAACTTCGCATTTGTACGACAGAATATTACACTTGTCCACGGAAAAGGACATCTGCCACAGTTTGCACCAGGATTCAAGTGCAGATAGATCTTCCTGAATGTGGCACAAGGCTGCGCGGGTATCTGCACGTTCTTGTGAGTAGACGATTTTAATGTCATCAGCAAACGGAAAAGTAGCACCATGTCTTATTCTATGAAATACATTGTTGACGTAGAGGAGAAAAAGAAGTGGACCAAGTACACTTCCCTGAATTACTCCACTGGTAACTGCTTTCGGTTTAGAGACACGGTCGCCAATACGCACCACCTGATGTCTGTCAGCTAGGTATGACGACAACCAAGAAAACATTGGTTCTCCAATACCTATTTCCTTCAGCTTTAGGAGTAGTCTTCGATGCGGCACTCTGTCGAATGCTTTTTGCATGTCTAAGAACAGGACAATAACACTGTTGCCTTTGTCTATGGCAGCCGTTGTGTGGTTTAAGAAGTCTGTCTGGTATGTCGCACAAGATCTGCCCTGCAAAAAACCGTGTTGTGAATTGTTGATGACGTTTTTCTTATGCAAGAAAATAAGTAATTCATCTTTTACTATCCTTTCCATAATTCTAGATATTACAGGTGTGTGATTGATGGGGCGATAGTTTTTAATTTCGTGAACGTTTCCATTCTTATGCCGCGGGATAACAACGGAAGTCTTCCAGTGATTAGGATATACTGCACTGTTAAAAGAGAGCGTAAAAATGTTGAGCAATAGAAGAGGCAAGTCGCTCCCACCGCTTTTTAACAAACAAGGGGGAATTCCGTCAGGTCCTGGGTAAGTCGAGGAAGACAAGCGGGAGACTTGACCGGAGATTGTTGCAATAGTGAATTCCACTGTGTATAAACTTTCAGTAATGTGTGGTGTGACAAGCGCTGGTGTGGCTAGCGGTTCATCAACCATTGATTCGGCGAAATAGGCGCTGAAAGCCTCACAAATTTCACCCGGAGCATCAAGGTATGTGCCACCCGGCATAATGATAAAGTTGATGGAATTACTGCGACGCTAATAGGTAGTGCCAATCTGATACACCGTACTTCGGTATTTCAATAACGGTTTGGATAACTGAACTTTGTCCAAAATGCTTCGCTGACAAACAGCAGCAACGAACGACTATTCGCCCATGAGTAGCCTCAAATCTTTTCTCAGTAAAGTATGCGTTGATATGGAATAAACTTCCATAGAATATCAGAAAATGCTCTACCTATCCGCAATTCAGACGGATGATCAATGTTCACCTGATTGTTTCCAATATCGTGTCAACAGTTAGCGAAAAGAGGACTGTGGATGATTTGTATGAGAAAGGTTCTAGATACACTTAAAGGTTGCAATCCCTCCTAGTTGTCTCAATATTACAGTTTTATCTTCAAATGGATGAACTCCTTAGTATGTATTTACAATCCATCTTATTCCTATCACTCCTACAGTGCCGTCTAAGCAATTGTGTTTTGGAAATGAACTACGCCTTTCAAGCTGAAATCTCCGCACGATTGTCGTTGTTCGCAATGATTTTCCACCAAATCGTGCTTCGCAGCTTAGCAAAAGATTGTACTCGTTTTTAATTCCTCATGCCTGATATTCTTCTTCATTTCATGGTTGGTCATGACTGGGCTGATCTCTTGACGGAGTACAGCTTCCAAGATAAAAAAAATATTATACCCATGCAAAGCGTACTACCACTGACTCGTTGGCAGATAACAAAAAACTGCCATATTTGAATGATCCACATGACCGATCGGGCTGAGGGTGATGAAGCCCATAATGCATGCATAAAACAGCCCTTATAGAAAACATGTGTGAAACAGGTGATGGCTTACATGCTATTTTGCCCCACCGTCACAGTCAGTTAGAGCATGGAAGTGCGCGTGAAACCCATCGAGGGAATAACCCGCATGGAAGCAGGTCCCCTGGAAACGGTTCCATCAATGGCCGTATTACTTTCTGCATTTGTTATTGCACCCAGTTTCTTACACTGTCTCTCTCTAATTTCTGTCAAACTGCCACGCACTACAGAAGCTCATTTGGGAGCAAATGTACAAAACCTGATTTCGATGTACAAATTGATCAGTCCACTCAGTTGGATGGTACCTCGTACCGTCGAGGATTAAAAAGTTAATTGATTAATTTAATCAATGCCTAAGTCTAGGCCCGCCATCCAAAAGTAGTCGCGCCCAGTTCAAAGCATAGACGGTTAACTACTCCGGTTCTAAAGTGTTCCCGAGAAGCGGAAACGACGTACGTGATGGCCGGATTGCAGCCAAATTCCTTTAAACAACTACAAGCAGACCTCGTAGTGTACTTCATGTGAGATCTTTCGAAGAAATAATGTCAAACTGTTTTCAGTGTCTTCACTTTCTTGAATTAGGCAAAATTGCAAAATATATGGTAACCGGAGATGAACAGAGTGCAACCCATTCATCAATGGAACATCGGTGCGACACAGTTTTCAATGAATTGTAGTTACATAAGCACATTAGTCAAAGTGTTGAATTGATCTTTCACCGGAAGTTTGGTGTGTCCGCATGGCTGGTTGAGAGGCTGATAAGTTAAATATATAGCAAAAAGAATTCATCACGACCGGATGCCACTATACATACGGAAAAGCACAGCGACCGTCAAGGTACGATAGAAAATGTTAGCAGGAAAGTCGCAGTGCTGAAAATATGAGCGTTCGCTTAACAGACAGAGGTGGTTGTCACCAGAACAAATCGCCACCTTGGTGTCGCAAACAGTTCAAAAAGCATTTTTGTTCGTCGCAGTCAGCCGACAATCCAGATAAGTCAACTACCTATCCGGAGAAACACCAGACGGCCGTTTCGCCCCATTGTCGGCTGACTGCGACGAACAAAAATACTCACAAAAATCCTTTTACTCATAAGTAAGTTCATAAAGTTTCTGCGGTTCCAAGCATGGGTCCTCAAATTACGAGATTATCGTCCCTTTTGCAAGTGTCAGGTGGCTGTCCGGTTGAGACAGCCTATGGTGGACTCCAAACCAGCCATTTGTTCGCTACGGTCAAGTTAACCTCGCTATATCCAAAGAAGCAATGACTACAATGAATCTGCGGGTCTGCAAGTTACGAATTACAGAATAATCATGGACGATGTTAGTTTCCATTAGAAAAAACTCGTGCAGGCGAAGATACAGAACCCGATAGAAAGGTGGGGAGCTATGAAATGGCAGCTATTTTATAGACCGCAGTCAATATCAATCAGAAATTCCGAAGCGTCGATCGAGAAATGACACAAGCCGTTCCGGATGACCACGAGGAAATTGAACAAAGCCCACTTCATCTGGGGGTGTGGAAGGTCCGAGAAAGCGAATCACGTCTGATGGATAGTCCTGTCAAAAAGCAAAGATCAGCTGCTTTCAAAAAGTCGAATAAACAATTAACAAATTTCAAGTAGGTTAAACAGCCATAGCAAAGAGAATAAAATCAGATCAAAAACTATCCGGCCCAGCAGGTCGTAAATGAACACCTAATTAGTCCATTCGCCGCAGACAAGATTTGCCTGCTTAATATGGTCTATGTTGGAGAAAAATATATTCAAAAGAAGTCGTCAAGTTAGAGTTTTGACCACAAAAGAAAACCATAGCCAACTGAATGGACCATGACTAGTTACAATAGTCAAACTAATGATTTGCAAAATGGTTGTAATAGCGATGCAGTCGAAAGAAGTCACGATTTCATCGAGTGTGCCAACGACTCACTAGCCACCCATCTGTTAGTGGGCACGTCCAAACTTGTAATCGGAACTCAGTGCGTTACGACGGCTTGTACCACCACCCTGTTCTAACGAAATAATGTGAGCAACAATGTTGTTGGTTATCGGAGCTATTGGTAATAAGCTAACAGAAGGTAATGAGTAGAGGGATCAAATCTAATGATGCAATGTATTAGATTAAAACAGCGAGGTATCTAAATAAGCAGAAACGCACCAAAGCTGCATCACTGGTTAATCACCGCGTGCCAGCTTTCGGTGACAAGTGGGTGATCCGTAATTATCCCGGTCCCCGAGAATTTGGTGCTCGTATTCCGGAATCTGGCGAGTTTCGTGTGACAAGCGAGATTTCCATAGAAAACCATTACGCTTGATACCCACTATACGACGTGTTAGATGTGAGCTGCTCCTGGTAAACATCATGACCTTCGCACTTCCACATAGAAGTACTATGGCTCAGCAGACACATGCCGAAACCTGCTGGGAGGACTGGGTCCCTGCTGGTAATCTAAGGAAGCGAAAGTGACTGCGGAGTCAGTTACATAGGCAGAACCGAGAGTTTTGAATTCCAGAGTGAAGGAACACCTGCCCAAGTGGGTTCAACGGGAGGCCAATCAACCTGCCTCTAGTGCTCCGAGCTCACGTAAGCCACCAGCGTCATCAATAGACAGGCACATTTGGGTGTTGCATCATCGGGTTAACCCTGTCTCGGTGTTTCGGATTCTACTGCGTCATACTAATTCTCGGTACTTGCGATTTGCCGAAGCCGTGACGACAAAACAAATGAGACGGCCCTATGTGTGCAAAAACAAATGGTTGTAACCCTTCGGCTGCCGTGGTCTTAGGGCTATAGCCGCCGTTCACCCTGGTGCAAGTGACACTCTTTGAGTATTGTTTTGACTGGTCTGGTGACACCCTTTGATTATTTTCTGTTATCATAATGGTACTGACGAGATGATACGAAATGCGCGCATCTACCAGTGTTCGTCTTTTTTCTATGTTATTCGAACAATAAATCACCGTCTCGTACTGGGTGCGATACCGTTATCTCACTCCAGAGCCTCGCGGGTATGTACGAATCAAGTTCGCTTAAGTTAACTCCCTACCTACACTTGAGTAACCATGTAGTGTGTCAAGCGCTCTGAAAACGGTGTCCTCAGCCACTGTGTGCCCTACTGCTTTCGCATCATCCGTCACTCACGCGTCTAATGTTCATTGGTGAACAGCTCCCCATCCACTTCTGGAAATATTTTGGCCAAGGCACACAGAGCTCAATTACTGGCTCAGAGCTTCGTTCCGAATGGCGTTTGAAAAATATCCTGAAATTCTCTGCTAACCTCATTAGATTCGATTCACAAACCCAATTAGAGGACTCCATAATAATACAGCGGTCGATATCTACTGATCACAGAGCCACATAGCATATGTGTCGGTCTCGTGACACAAAAGCAGTTGGCGTTCGCATAGCACTTAGTAGCGAGGTTGAGGTCGCGCTGCTGGAACGGTTCGCGATATATACGCCAGAGAAGGAGATAGATTCTTCAGACCGAAAAATACCTAGTTTTTAGAAAACGTGTTTTTCCAGCACCTCCATCGTTGCAAATGGGGCGGCTGCGACAGGGGTGAACTCAGGAACAATTGTGGAGCATCAACGATGTGTTGGAATAATTGAAAAAACCAATATTTTTCTAAATTAATATATCCACAGCACGGGACGCTACAAGAGAAAAATCCATAATGGCATCTACGATATGATTAAAGATAGATGGGGATTAGAATATAAAGGAATAAATAGGTATATTTCCAGGCGGCTGGGACAAGTCCAATTTTGTGGAACAATCATTTGTGCAGCGAATTTATTTTATGAACTTGCATTCAATACGGATCAGTGATGCAATGTTTTGTGGAACATGTAAAAAGTAACATTACTGGAAAGCAAATATGTTATGTTTTTTCGGGTAGGATTCCATGAGTACACTCGTAGATTGTTAACGGTCGAAAATTATGACCACATGGGGCATTGAAAGAAAAGATTTTGAATGAAGTCTAAATACAGGCAGGTTCTCGATAAACCTTAATTGCAACGGCAGTTTATTCCACAGATGGCGTACCTCACCTAGAAGAAATTTAAGCGAATATTTTCCCTCGTCTTTTGTAGGAATAGTAGAAACTTCCCATTACGGGTGGGATAGGTTGATACATTTTGTAGCGTGACAGCCGTGCTGGTTGAGAAGACTCGTGAATAGATTATACTGTAGAGAAGAGTAAGATTGCTTTTTAGTCGTTCAAACCATAACAGATCAAGCTGGAGATAAGTACATCCTTCCACATGGGTAAACGTTGACGAGCGCTCTATAATTGTTTCGGTAAATGAGCGCTGTTTTGCTTGTGGCTATGTATAGTGGTATAGTTCTCCAGTGTGGGCAGCACTTAGAGTTTGGGACAGTGAAAATGACTTAGTGATGTAGCTTAGTAGTTGCTTCGCTTTGGCTACTTGATGTATGAGGTGTTCGGAGAATTTGAAGACGTTAGAGTATGGAATTTAAAAGTCCCGGACGGAATCCGCAGTTGGGATGGGGGCACCCGTAAGAGTGACAGATCCTTCTAGTATACCGCATCTGTGGCAAAGTATCTGAGATTTATCTGTCGAAAACCTCATCGACCTGATTCCGCTCCATTTAGTTTTAGCGTATATTTTTAGACATAGTTCCAGATAGTACTCATTAGTAGTTGTAAATCTGATAAGGCTTTCATCCCAACAGTTCACAAGCTACATAACAGAGCCTAGTCCGGAAAAACGCCAGACGCGTTTCGCCCTATTGGGGCTCGTCAGTAGCGCGCATTTCCTCGGTCCTCTAAAGAGGATCGAACCCATGTCCGCTAGAGGCAGATGCCAACTAGCCAGCAGCTTAAGCTACTGAGCCATGGGGGACGTTGGCTGGGCTACATAGTTTGCAAACTAGCTGGGATACACCACCACCTATTTACCACTGTCACTGACAGTGGTTAGCTTGAAAGGTGATGACGTCCTCTCACTAGACGCTATATCTATAGCATTAGAAACTAGGAGAGGCTAACCACTGTCAGTGACAGTGGTAGATAGGTGGTGGTATACCCCAGCTAGTTTGCAAATTATGTAGCCCAGCCAACATCCGCCATGGCTCAGTGGCTTAAGCTGCTGGCTAGTTGGCATCTGCCTCTAGCGGTCATGGGTTCGATCCTCCTTAGAGGATCGAGGGAAAGCGCGCCACTGACGAGCCCCAATAGGGCGAAACGCGTCTGACGTTTCTCCGGACTAGGCTCTGCTATGTAGCTTGTGAACTGTTGGGATGAAAGCCTTATCAGATAGTTCCAGATAGTAGGTAGAAATGAGGCCACTATTTTGATGTCATGGGCAAATAAAAATGGGCGCCCATGCCTAATGTAATCACATATAGCTTATTTGAACAGGAAAAAGAATTGACCCAATACATTCCTCTGGACGACACCATCAGTGACATTTTTGAGAGCGGAAGTGTTCATTTAGTTGGACTATTTGTATACGGTCGCTCAATAGAAGACTGCTGATCTCATAAAACTTAAGCCAGGCTAACAATGGTTTGTCCGGTACACAGTCAAACGCTTTTAGCATATCCAGAAGAATGATGACTATGGCCATGTCACCATCAGTTGTTGCTGTAACATGGTCAAGGAATGGTAGTTGGTATGTGATACAGGGACGTTTTGCAGTGAACTCGTGTTGAAACTGCTGAGTAATTTTTGTCAGAAACAGAGGTACCTGATTCTTGATGATCCTAAGGCCTTAGCGGCGGCCGAAATATCGTTTATCGGCATAGTTTGACATCCGACCTTGTGGACTGCGGCTGTGGAATTTTTCCACTGAGACGGGAAGCCGCCAGTGTTTAGTGATAGTGTAAAATGGTTCAATGTGAGGAGGGGTACGTGTTCGCTAAGTAACCTTACAGCTGCAGGTGCCGGTAGGAATATCGGTTTGATGGTCATCTGTACGTCCTGTAGACCCAGAGGGATTGAACAGAGTAGCTCCTCAGATTTTCTTGAAGAGGACAGGATGCAGTATTGGACGAGACGGCAAAGCAGAAATACAGTGATTCACATATTTGGATGATATCTTCCGTTGCCGTATCGTCATTAAAAGCAGGCTTGGGATTTCTTGGTGTTGTTTCGGATTTCTTTTGAGTAACTGCACTAGAGCACGAGCTTCCCCTGAATTCCTGATGACTCGGTTTCCTCGGCAAATTATAGACTGTTGAGTTTGGTGGTCAGGTGGTAAGGTTTCGTGTATTTTGATTAATGTGGCGATGTCTTTGTTTTGCAGTACAGTGACCCCAACTTCTAAGCTTTGAGACCACCCTGTAAGTGTTTGTATCAGCGGTTGAAAGGGTGTGTTTAGCCTCAATGTAGGTGCCAGAATGTCCGTACATATTATGGTGTTTTCCGCGAATTCGCCGGTGGATATGGCCCATTCTGATGTGGAGAAGAATCGGTCCCAACACATGGTTTCAAGCAGCTAGTCAAACCTGTTCCAATGAACAAAGTGTAGTTTAGGTACTGACTTCCTTATTACTCTGGACTTTTCAGCCTGCCTGATATGCAACCTGC